CAGGTGTAACGTAAAATTACGCTCTTTTTTGTTTTTTTTTTGAAAAATCATTGATAACTCGAAATTTTACTTATAAAACTGCCTTCTGCGTACTAATAAAAAAAATTCCTCGCTAAATTTTGGTATAAAACATGCCATACTCTCGTACTAATCCTAACATTAACGATAAGGTTTATTACTTCGAATCGTGCACTTATTCGATTGTTTTGATTTTTGCTGATTGGCCAAAAATCACGTGACCAGTCACTTTTTTCGCCACGGCTAGGGTTTTACTACCCATCCATTATCATCTATTAATGATATCCAACTCTTGATCATATTCAAACTGTAAAAAAGAACTCGTCTTAATATATTTATAGTCACCTTTTTATAACGGACTTCTTTTTAAAAAATTATTATAAAGTTCGGTAAAACATAGTAAATCACTTTATAAGAAACTTTTGAAAAATTTTTTACTATAAACCAATTCGTTATAGAGAAAGCTGACTGTATATACAAACTCTCACAACTTGAAAAATCTTACCTAAGATCATTATCCCAATTTCTAATCAAAAGTTGATGAAATCCTTCGTCCCTATACATTTAAATTTTTTTATGATTATATAATTTATCGAAGTGTACTATTTGATCATATACTAAACAGATAAAAATTTTCGGCTTAGCCAGTTTACTCAATTTTCTAATCTTGTCCCAACATCGAATACCAAATTATTAGAATCAATTTTAGGCGCTTTCGATTAACTATCAGTTTGTATTAACATTTGTAAAATTTTCTTGGACATCTACCAAAATTTTCAGACAGATCAAACTCTCAAAATTTTTCTATATATCTAGTACTCATTTTTCATTTTTAATATCTTTAATTGGTTGCCTCATATTGAAAACAACTAACCAAATCTCAACGCAAGATTAAAGTACCATGTAAAAAAGAATGTGCGCTAATTTAAAATCGATCAGCAGATAAAAATCGACTAGCTAAGCCGAAAAATTAATTTTAGTTTAATCGTCCAGGATCACCAATTCAATAGACGATGCTTATTCGCAAGTAATACAGTATTTAAATCAAGAGCATAACAAATACCAGTAAAATCCGCGAGGAAAAAATGGACGCGATGGTGTGGCCGTAAATAAAGATGATGGGGATGTTAATTGCAGATTAGCATGCCGACTTTTATCCCAGAAATTTTCTTCGTCCTCATCAACATTCGTATAAGATCTATCAACTATGCTTGTTTCATAAAAATAACTACAATAAACAATGTAACATAAATAAATTTGTATGATTTGCAATTTATAAAAGATTCATATCAAATAATAAATAAGTAAATTATTAGTAAACCGATTCCACCAATCAAATTACTCAAAATTTCTTTGGCAAAACTAATTTGACTTTCATCAAAACCTTTTGAAGTTAGATCAAAGGTATTCTCAAATCTTGCGTCAAAATTTTGTGATTTTAATTCAAGGATTGTAGTAAAATCTGCAATTAATAAATGAAAATAATTAGAATTGAAAAGAAAAGTTATCAAAATAGATCTCATAACAAATTCCCAACTGAAGTAGAAACCCTTCAACATCAATGATAACCAATTAATTCATTTATATGATTCATATGAATCAGAAATTAATTATTGGAAACTGATTAAGTTGGCAACATTACGTCTTGCCATTATAACTGAGTTTCGGTTCAATATGTTTGCGCAATAAATAAATTTGAACAGTTATTTGGGAAGGTTCTTAATAGTTTCAGCTTCGTAAATATGATGGACTACTATATTCATCTTGCAATGCTATTTTCAAATGGTAATAAAAATACAAACCTTTCAAATTTATGGAAGATGATGATGATTCAAAAAGTATGTCAAACTATAAATGAAAAACAAAAAATATAACTAGAAATTAAAAAATCAAACTAGAAAATAAATAAATAAATACAACCAGACCTTCCTAAATGCAGCTTGTAGGGACTAGACTTTTGACGACGTGCATTTAGAAACAATAAGAAAAACTGCATTTATGAGAGTCAAGCACAAATTTTAGGAGGCTGCATGTCGTGCGGGTTAATAAATGGGGACGTTCCACTTAACAATCCAGCTCAATCAGTGGCACTGCAACTACAACGACGT